TACGTCTAGACTGCAAGCCTATTTTGAAAGAGGTTTTTTTTCGAAAGATACTTTTGAAAAAGCCTCTTTCAAAAAAGAGAGTGTCTAGACTACAACCAGTACTTTCGAAAAAGGAAGCCGCTTTTTCGAAAGAGAGCACCCAGGCAGTATGGATACTTTCTTTCGAAAAAGCACAGTTTGCATTACATAGCGCCTTTTTTCGAAAGAGCACTTTTGGAAAAAAAAGGCGTTCTTCCTCGTAAAACGAGGTTTTCTGTGGTTGAAAAAACTGCCACATTCTTTCGATTTACTTTCGAAAGAACACAGCAGCAGTCTAGACACAGGGGATTTTTTTTGTTTTGTTTTTTTCAAAAAAAGGCCACTTTTTTCGAAAAAACCCTGCAATCTAGACACACCCTGACAGGCACTTAACCATAGGCATACTAGTGGATGTTACTAAAGTCAGGAGTTATTAACTCTCTCATAGTATTTTTCCCAAACTACATTGCTATATTACATCCTTGGTAAGACATACTAAAACAACTATGGAAAACGTACAGCAAGGCTACTCAACACACGGCCTGTGGGCCCCATTTGTTTGCAGCCCATGAGTGGGAGGCAAAACAAAAAAAGTAGTCAATATAATGGTCTTCTGATGATACGTGTTTTAGTAGTTAAATTCCTGGACTGTCACTGCTCATTAAAAGTGCTGTCATATGGGTGGAAATCAGGTAACTATTGCATTTTATTAATATCAGCAGAACTGACATGGAGCCGGCATGTTGTGGTTCCCAGTTGAGTCACCCTGAATTACAGCATATATGAAAATTATATGTACACAACATAAATACATGTAGACATATTTAAGTTATGTAATATATACATATTCTGTATAAAATCTAATAGTGATTACAATTTTGGTATTTGTGCAGGTGGGAGAGGATGGGGACAGAAATGGTAGACTTGATATTCAAAAATTCCACTGTGAAAGCCAGATTTTGCAAAAATTATGTGTGTCGGTTAATTTAACTGATACAAGTAGTCCCAGAGTTCAGAGGAACTATGTCCATGAATTACGCGTATCTGCATGTGTTTGAAAGAGGTGTCTCTACGTGTAATCCTTCATGTTAATGAATTACCGTGAACAGTCCAATTTTGAATTTTGGTACTATAACTTTTCATTACTTAATCAGTATATTTTACTTCTAGGTCCAATTAATTAGAAGGAATTGAGATGTACTAGAAGGTGTTATAAGAAAGCATGTTACATATATTTAATAAAATAGACTTACACCATATGCCCAGCACCCTTTTCATACAGATGTATTGTAATACAATAACCGCATCCTAGAAAAATGTGGCTTGCTAGTACTATTTCAACCATTCTAGTAATTAAACACTGCACAGCAATTTAATTATTATTTAAGACTTTATTATTTCATATATCTATTAGAAAATGTGCATATAAGCATACCCAAACTCTCTAGAATTTTGTATAATTAGTTTTACTTAATTTTTACAAATACTGCAATTTTTTTGGTCACCAATAGCAGAAAAACAGATTTCTACCTCATGCAAAAATGTGGTGCAAGCAACATAACATTCAAAGTGTTAAAAAGGAAAGGACACTGTTTAAAAGGAATGAGAGCCCATAATAATTCAAAGACACAGCAAAGCAAGTAAGATTTTTCTTTATAATTTGGTGGTCTGCTACAGAAAACATATGTATATGGAATATGCATAATTACTATTTTTATCTATTTACTTTGCTGGTATGCATGAAAGAAGCCAAAAGAACATTTGTTCTGATCTTTAAAAGATTTCAACACAGATCTATTTCCTTATGAACCCAATCTTGGGAGATGTCAACTGCCTCCTACATTTCAGAGGATGTGGAGCAGACTGCATCAGAGCCAAACAGCATTCTAAATCATATGAAAGTATAATGGAGTTGCAATTGTTACTGAAAATGAGGAAGCCTCTATATTATATGAATGAAGTTGTAAATAAGCCCAAACTTGTGTGATTTTTCATAATGCTCATGCTTTTCTTAAGACAGTTTACATGCCCTTTAAACTAAATTTTCAGAATGTACCTGTGTATGAATGGTTTCTAAAGTGGAAGCTTTTCATTCTATTGATGCAAAAGAATATATGATTAGTGCCATCTACTGGAAATCTGGAGTACTGGGGTACCTTTTTAGCAAGTTCTAATTTCTTCCCTACTCATTACCTATTAGAAAGAATACATTGAAATGTTTAATCCTTTTATTTTGTATAGTTAAAAAACTGCATCTATACCTCAGGCAGTAATATATGGATATTAAAATGTAAACAAACCACCCACCAAATTAACAATAATAATTATTATATGAAAGGTATACTATTTATAACATAAATCAGTGTGTGTCCATAAACTTCTGAATGGTCACAAGAAAAGATGAAAAAAGTGACAATATGTTGAAGATTTTTATATTGGGAAGAATTTGAAACAAAATTTGAATTTAAAATAAAAAGCAATTCTCAAAATTATGTACTATTCTGATGTGAAATTGAATGTATTTTTTTGAAAAGCAAAAAGGCTTTCATTTGGTCCTAATTATACATGATAATACATATGAACTTCATTTTATAGCATAAGCAAATCTTAGGGGCAGTAATATATATGACATATTTGGACTGAAACAATTATTCATAAAAGGCAACAGCTGATTCTGGGTCTCTCACAGAAAATAAAAATGGCTATATAAATTACGTAACTGTGCTCTAGCCAGCAAATATTATATGCATGGAAATTTACGGATGTGAGTAATCTCAGTTTACCAATTACAAGATATTTTAACAACCAGAACTGATTAGAGCCTTGGTTTTATGCCTCATTTGAACCATGGGACCTCTGTCGGCACACTGCCCCCTAAAACTATTTGGTGGCACTGGTTCATTAAGTCACTCACATGAAATTATGCCTCCTAAACCACTTCCTGTACCACCTGGATTTTCTTTGAAAGTTTTGATCCAACTAGAAGCAGGCTGGTCCTTAATCTTGCTTATCCTGAGATCTGATGTGCTCACAGCACAAACCAATAAGTCACACATTATATATTTTGTGCAGAATACGATGGAAGGGAGCGGGTGAAAAAATAATTTTCATAAAATGTTTGTAATTCCAAAGAAAACAGAGCACTTCTCTACGTTTAAAGGTAAAACTCAAAATCCAATAGGACAGTGGCAGTATTTCAGTACCCCACCTCTACTATACATAAACAAATTGAGGACAAAATTAGCTAGCAATAATTTATAAATGTCTGGAGAATTTAGTTTCCTCTTAGAACACATGAAATATACAGTTATATATTATTCTGCTATCAGTGGATGAGTTTTGTTTCATAATATACATCTCTAAAGTAGTCAGCATAACCAATCTGTTAAAATGTCAGTAGCTATGGATCCTACGAACAGGCATATTGCAGAGCTATAAAAGTTACAATAAAGCATGTGTATATTGGTTTACGCCAGTGACGCAGGTGACAAAATAGTTAATGTGATGCTCTGTGAGCAGGTATGCACTAGACATACTTCTGACAGATTCTGTTCCTTCGAGATCTTCTTGGGACCTGCCTCTTAGAATAAGCAAAAATAAACAGGAAAGCTGTGAAATGCCCCTCTTTAAGGAGGTCTGACTAGTGTGAATTCACATCAAAGATGCATAATGAGAGGAAATTTCCTTATCCTCTGTTTTCAGAGTTTGAGGCCTGGGTCAGAAGCATGGATAATTGGACACAAATGGGGTCTACTGTCTCCTTATCAAGGTATACATGGAACTCCTATGTAGGTTAATGGGAGTTATGCAAATAGACCCTGATGCCACAAAACTTCATTTTGATCATTCAAATAAAATTATAATCTGCTCTACAAAACCCAGTTAAGCTGAGAGGTTTTGTGTCCTATCACTGAAAGCATTCATGACACTTCTTCCACATGCTGCTCTGACATAATATTTGAAAAATAGCAATAATTCTTTAATAATTGTATTTTGTCCCTCATTCTATGGTGATGGGTGCATAACAAATGCCCAGATTGGAATGTTACTTGGAGTTTCAATCAATGATTATTTACAGCTGCATTTTAGTTTTTATTTTATTCCAGATAGCCTTTGAACTCTACAAATTAATCCACTGACGCTGTCAATTCCTGTCAAATAGTCAGATTTTGTACCTTATAAAGATATTACATATGTTACTGTTTAAATGCAGATATTAAACATTTAGACTCCAATCTTGTAGTCAGATTTCCATGGTTGGGCCCTTATGCCCCAATGGCAGCCTTTGCAAATCAAAATTCAGGAGTGGAACATTACATATGAAATATGATTTTTCCTTTTTGCATTTTTAAGGGTGTATGTTTTTTCTAAAAAGAGCATCTGGGGAGCATTTTTGTTTTATCAAAGTAAATATCACATAACTAAGATAGACGTTGTGAGGGGAAGGAAATTACATTACAGCTCACATCACCATCTGCATGAACCTTTATGTACATTATTATTAAAAGAAAATTTATAATAAAAATTTCACACACAAAAAGGAATTAATGGTGAAAGATTTTGATGCACTTGAACAGTATTTGGAAAACGTTTTCCTAAGACAATTAAATAATATTATTTCATGTATGAAGTGCTGCTAAGCAATTTCTTATTAAAACCGCGTGCAATATTTAATACAACTGTGATTTTCAGGCTAACTGCATAGTTTATGTCAGGGGACAGGAAGATGCTATCAAATTTGAGATATGATAACATATTGGGCAAGGAAACTGGATAATGTTTCCAAGGCATTCTAAAATCTGGGCTATGAATACACTAAAAGTAAAACAGTAATTTATAACAAACTTCTGGCTTCAGCAGAGAGCTCTAATAAATCACAACTACATTTAGTAAACCATAGCATATCATTTCCTGCAGCAGAGACACCCATTCCTAAAAGGGCCTTCAATATGCACGACACAACAAAGCAGCACCCATTCAACCTGAGGGAAGCCCACAGGCTCGCAGGGCCACTGGCTGGCTCTTTGTCACCAAATGCAGCAGGTTGAATGCAGACATCACTGTGATATCCTCACCAACAAAACCAGAGGCAAAGAACAGGGGCAAGAGCTGAGTAGGGAAAAAAAAAAAAAGATGAAAACATAAAAAATGTTAGATACATTCATAGCAAAATTGATGGTTACGATTCTACCTGAAAAGAAAACCTAGAGCTAAGAAATTCTGAATGCACATTTATTAGTTGGTTTAGCCATTTTTGGCCTTCTGCTTTCAGCTTGTTTACATTTGTTAATTAGAATACATAGCATAAAATGCTGCAACTCTTTATGTTACCAGGCAGGGGGAAAAACTTAATGTCGTGCAATGCAGGGCAACTCAAATTTGCAATTAAAAATTTACTGAAAACACATGTCTATGTGGTGAATGCTGGAAATCAACTATTATGAAAAACTGTTTAGTTGGCTGGTTGGTTAAACAAAGCCAAACTTTATTTTAACAAATAAACTTCCCAGGTATCAGAAAAATAATGGGACAATCATTTATTTAAATAAATATAATTTATATCTTAAATTCTCCATAGGATACATTTAAGCAATTTTCCAGCTGGCACCAATATAGTAGAGAGGAATATGGCAGTGGAGATTTTTTTATATTGTAAGATGTAACATGTGTCTATGGTGATTGTTTTGTTTACCTCACAATAGGAAGGATGAAATGCAGCTGCCTCATAGGATAGTCATTCATAGCTACAGTCTGTGTCAGAAGATTATTGTGGTAAATTACACCAGGGACTTAAACCTACCCCCACTGAAGTCAATAAGTGAAGCTCTCATTGATTTCAGTGAGAGCAGGATTAGGCCCCAGATAGTTAATAGTTTGAATAACAATGCACCACTCTCAATCTCTTCCAAGACACGTTTTTTAAAATGGTTACAGAATGGAAATGCCCAGAAACGTACTCAGGAATGATTTTTCTTGTACATTTCCTGAACTAGAAGAGAAGATTGTGCATGGTCTCTTCTGACCCCTGAAGAAGAAACACATAATAAAGAGTAATATATATTATAACATCACTCTGGAGTATATCGGACAGAAATCAGCTTGCATTAACGTGCCTGAACTCTGACTTCTCCAAACTAAACTTATTACAAAACCAAAACATTTTTATGTTACTAAATGGAGACAAAAGGGAGAGGGAAGGTGAGTGCCACATAACGAACAGCTCGAAAGAACCATTAAACATAAATAAACATGTCATTTTCACGAGTGACTGCAGAACTGGTTAAAAAAATCCTTCAGAGCAGACTACTGACTAATAAAAGATCAAAGACCTATACATAATAAACACTACAAATAAAAATGCAATTTTTTTCTAGTGACCTTCACTGTGAGAAGTAAAGTGTGCAGTGAAAATGTAATTACCTAGCAAAGCTGCAGTCTTATTGTGCTCCCGCAACTGATCATAAAACGTCTTCCTATTCTGTTTCATCAGCTGCAGTACCAGGCAGCCTGTGCGCCTACCAATCGCAGCCATCTGGCTTGTGTCAAAGCCTGTGAGTCAGGCAGCTACAGTGCAACAGGAAGAAAGGCAGTGATGTCACTCTGCAGGTCAGGCAAAGAACAAAGATGTATTCTACAATTAAAAAGCTGGTTGCCCCCAAGCATAGGGGGGTCTCCTCCATTCGCTTCTTACTGCATGCCTTATAGTTAATACTGCTTTTGTTATTATCTAAAGAGGAGAGCACCATCTAGTGGTTATTCTTGCAAAAAGCTCTTTAAGGAAAAAATCGTTCAGCTAGCAAAGATATAGCTGGATTGCTACGGTTAGATAATGGACTCTGAAAGTGTTAAAAAAACTTAATACAGCAATATGGACAAAGGGAATGGCTTGCTCTCAGTCAATGATTTTATGCCCCTATACAGCAATTGTATCTATTACATGGCACAGTCACACAGGCAAGGTGAAATTTTTAATATTTGCCAAGCTTGAGCACAAAGTCTGAAATGCTTCCTTTGACTTTCATGAGTGAATTTGGGAGCGGGAGGGAGGGAGTGAAAAGGAGAACACCATTGCTGTAGTGATTTCAAGTGTAAATAAATCAGGATTTTATTACATGTCTGAGAGATCACCTGTCTTCCCGGGCCCTACTGCCACAGGGGTGTGCTCTCTGGAGCCCCCATTGTCACAAAGGGAACTGTTGGCAAAGCATTCTCCATTTAATCATGGATTGGTATCTCAGAATAATTTATTCTGCAAATGTACTCCTATTTAACAGATACAATCCTTAGGGCCCTAAGATGCCACTGATTTGCATGCAGAACTTGTCAACAAAGTCAACTGGCTTCTATAAAAACTTATTGCATATCAGCCTTTAGTTTTTTGAACTCCTCAGGACAAGCTACCACAATACAAATTGTAATTTAAAGGATAAGACTCATATCTAGTTCCTAATATCTGCATTTACATCATTCAAATCCCAGTCCTGTGCTTATTCCTCAGGCAAAACTGCTACTAAATTCAATGGAAATTTTGTTTCCTCTTTTCTTTTAGATAGACTTGGCTCATAAAAAATTCACAACATTGTAGTCTAAATTTATTTAAAGTAATCTGCTGAGAAAACTCTCAGCTATTTTGGAGAAGTTGGTGTCAGACAACAATTTTTTTCTCCCATGTCTGATATGTGATTTACAGATATCTTCCTTAGCAGCCTGTTAGTAACACAATATCCTCTGACATTGTAGCACAGGGAAATAGAAGATAGAAAAAGAGAAATGGTCAATTTAACACTTTCTAAAAGAGCATCATTTGTGTTTTTTCACTTTCTGTGCTCTGTTCACTATTCTTTATATGGACATGACCCACTGGAGGACAGAGGAGTTGGGATATTTGTTTAGCAGGGGGAAAAGCGAGAAATGTTAGCCTCCACTCTTTATATTTATCTCATGTTTCATTTTTCCTGTTGTGCCTTTCATCTGCTTGCTTCATAGATTTGTTTCTTAACAATCTGAAGCTGTTTACCACTGCAGCACAAATTATTTCCCCCCTCTGTTACAAGTAAACCGGCCTGCAACTCCCTACAGCATACGCTGTTGAAAAACTATTTAAAAACCCAAAAGATTTTGAACTAGATCCTGATTTCATGAAGAAGCCAAGTATTTCTGTGTTCACCAAATTACTACTATTTAGTCCCAGGTATCCATAAAGGATGTAAGGCTGTAACTCTACAAATCTCAATAAAACTGAACTAACATTCATTAAAAAATACAACAGCAGAAGTCTGTCTTCTCTCGTTTGAAGTTTAATTTCTATTACTTGTGTCAAAGCACTCCCCAGAAGCCAGAAGCAGCACCACGGCTCCCCTGCACGAGGTGTTGTGTGGACACAGTCCCTGACACACAGAGTTTACAATTTAAGCTGACAAATGAGGTGTGAAGGAGAGTGGGGGGGAAGAAGGATACAGTCAAAAGGTATGGAATTTGTAGCATATGTTAATGCAATATAAATGTCTAGGAAGCTGCTGTACAATTCTGCCCCCTTATTTCGAAGAAAGGGTAAGAATGTGTATAGTTTGACAGGGGAATAGTGTTCAGTGGAGGATGACGCACTGGGCTGACAGAGCTTGTATCCAGGGCCCCCAGCCAATTAGGGAGAGCCTAGAAAATGGGTGCCCCAGTGCTTCAATCTGACTCCCTGGCATGTTTCAGCACATGGAGAGCAGCTGTCCCCCACACCACCACTACTACCCTGTCTGCTCCAGGTCCTGCCTCAACAGCTGGACACTGACTCCTGGATTCTGGTGCCCATCCATTTCCTCTATGACCCTGAGTGCGCACAGGGAGGGTGGAGCAGAGCAGAGTAAGGGGAGGATGAGGAGAAGAGGAGAGAAAGGGAGAGGGGCTGGGGAAGAGAAGACCATATGGGAATAGATGAGAAGGAGGGAAAAGCCAGAGCCCAGCATGTGGTGCTCGCTGGGCAGCAGCTGGGGCTCCTCCCTTTTACCGCCTGTGCCTCCTAAGCAGCAGTAGTACAGGTACTACTGTAAACAGGGACAGAGAGAGCCAGCAAACCAAGGGGACTGGCTTCAGTGTGTATGTGGGTGTTCACGGGCATGCTTTGCCCCCACAAATGCAGCAGTCGAACTACACCAATGGCCCTGTAACTGGAAGAGTTCTAGCTCCGTGCTGTGGCCACAGGGCAGGAGAAACTCTCACTCCCCATGGCTGCCAGGTCTCCGGGCTGCAGTGGGAAGGGGCAGGGCAGAAAGGAGCAAGTTCGTAGGGCCACAGTGGAAAAGGGAGAGACAGTGGGACTGTGTGTGGAATGGGGTAGGCATCTTGTGAAAGGGGAAAAAGGGGTGGAATGGGAGTGGGATTACAGGCAGAAGGGAAGAGGAGGGGGACCCCCACTTGCTCTGGTCCAGGATCCCACGAAACCTTAACCTGCCTCTGATAGTGGTAACATATACAGATAACAGTTACAGCTCTTGATCCTGTTTCCACTTTGCCATAGACTTCCACAGAAGGGTACAGAATCAGACAACCTGGAGTTCTAAAATAGGAACTACAGTCAGGCCACTACAAGGAACATAGGAGGAAATCACTGTTTCAGTACCTTCAACGACAATTACTATTCTCGGGGGAAAATGTTATGCTGTGCCTCCAGAACAGTGGTTCTCATCCTTTGCAGATCCACTGTGCTCCTTTCAGGAATATGATATGTCTTGCGTACCCCACATTTCACCTCATTTAAAAAACATTTGCTTACCAAAAAAAAAAAAGACATAAAAATATAAAAAAGTGTCACAGCACATGATTATTGAAAAACTGATGGCTTTTTCATTTTGTCTGTATGTAATTTTAGTTTGTACTGACTTTGCTTGAGCTTTTTAGGCAGCTTGTTGTAAAAGTAGGCAAATGTCTAGAAGAGTTGATTTTTCCCCCCCAGAAGACCTCTCGTACCCCCAAGGGTACACATACCTCTGGATAAGAACCACTTCTCCCAAGGGTGCGTCACAGAGTGCTTAGCCCAGGGACAGGTGAGTAAAATGATTTTAAGCCACCTTTGCACCCTCTCAGTCCTGGACTGTTCTGGAGCTTGAAGAGACTCCCAGCATAATGCAGGCAGCCCAGGGGAGCTACTTTGAAGTTATAGCATCTTCTCCACTCTGCCTTATGGACTTCAGCACTGTGCAGAATCTCTGTGGTTCTGTGTGCTACAGCTGCAGCCCTGACAGACGCCTCCCGCCCCAGCTATGCGCTCAACACATCCCTTACACCAAGACTTCTCTCCCAGCTGGAACCAGGATTTTAGGGACCCTTTAATCTGGTGCAAAGGAGCCAGAGCAGGGGTGGTAATCCCCCTCTTAATATTTAAGCAGTGTTTCGATAAATCTCCAAACATGGTGACTATGTGTAATCTTGTTAATGATGCAAATTCCAGGCGCATACGCTGGAATTTCTGGGGGCGGGGGGAAAGCTGGTGGCTGCTCCCAGGCTGTAACCCAGCCCTGTCCCCCATGACCCAGCCCCACTCCCTGTCTCGCTCCTGGGTGAGGAAGGGAGGAAGCATCCCCAGCCTTCCCCGACCGACCAGAGCACAGGGGAGGGAGGCTGGGGCAGTGGGCCTCCCTGCTTTCCCCCAGCTGGCAAGGGCACGGGAGAGGGAGACTCGGGCAGCATACTTCCCTGACTTCCCCCGGCCAGTCAGAGCATGGGGGAGAGAGGCTGGGGCAATGCTCAGCCCCTGCCTTCCCTAGGTCATCCAGAATCAGCACCATGGTAGACCATGAAGGATCATGGGGGGAGGAGGAGTGCATTCGCACCCTTCGCACATCCCCTGCATATGGGCCTGAATACAGTAAATCACAAAGTCCACTAGCTCCTGCAAGGCCTTACTAACTCTTTAGGTGATTTTGTTTAGGTGGAAGCCTTTTGTTTCTATTATAAACCTAAACAATAGCTTCAGGAAACCTTACTTTTAGGATATTGATATAAAAGGTGACATTAAGGCGGCATCAACTCTTACAATTTCAATATGGTCAATTCAAAATTTTCAAAAATCATGAGTCAGGTCCCCAGATTCATGAATATGGCTTAAAAATCTGAGAATTGTTAACAACAAGGCAGGAGTTCTCTTTTAACTTGCCTTCTGGATTTTGAGTCATTAGAGTATAGGTGAGTCGTTTGTTTTAGAAGCGGTTAGCTCCGTCAGTATGAGGACTAGAAAAATATTTTTTTTTAAAAAACAAGAAAACTGAGACTTACATATGCCACTGGGAGTAAGGATCTTAAATTTAGATTAATCAACTAATCGACTAGTTGATACAATTTGTATTGACTATTCGATTAGTCGATAAGGGCACCTCCGCCTTTGAAATGTAGCAAGAGCCCCATAGATCCCAGAGGGGGCTTTTGTACATTTCAAAAGCAAAGCGCGGAGCAAGAGGGGGACTGCTTGAGTCCCCCACAGGCCCGGTGCTCCCCATGTGCACTTTGCTTTTGAAATGTACAAAAGCCCCCTCTGAGGCTCTTGTACATGTCAAAAGCAGGGAGTGCGGGGCCAGGGG